CCTCTAACTTTAGGGGCAACTAGGGGCATTTCAGAAGATATTTTCTCAACCCGGCAATTACACCATACGGTCTCAATCAGAAGAACTGCACTAAGGACAAACGTACTGATCAACCTTCTACAGTCAGTTTGGCAGATCCCTAGCCATCAGATCGCTCCGTGATGCTGTCTAAATGATGTGTGGAAATAGAAGGACTTCAACGAAAATTATTTTCATAGTTTCAGCGAAAAAGAATCAGTATGTTGTTTACCGAGCCAACCGGAAGGCCCCAGTTACAAACATATCCAAACAGTTGTCTTGCAGCTGGATACTGACGGCGCATGTCCATAAATTTTCCAGGAATTTTGATAGACGAATAGGAGACGCCTTTCTATGTACAAGGCCTAAATGCAGTACTTTATGCTATGCACAGGCAACTACTCTAAAGAATGTGTACTGCTTACCAGAAGATTCAGATATTCTTTCAAGGACATATCACTATCATATTCCAAAAAAAGGGGTGTGTTTCGGAGTGGATGGCGATGCATACATTACACCGTACGTTTCGGTATGTGTGTTTCGTATGTTTCGGTAAATGCCGTGTCGCATACACTCAACAGCTGAAAGACCACGTCCCCATGCCCGTTTTGATCAATCGTAGATAGGTATCTCATGTCTGAGGCTTCGAATGGAGAGATGAACATTGGCCCAATTCACTCATCTGCAACACGTCCTAGTATCAACGGAGATAGTAGCTGGATTTATGGGTGTTTGTATGAATGCGCTGCGCAGAGGCCTTCTCGTGTTTCGGTTGGAATGATATTAGAGCTATTCCAGTGTGTTTCCTTGACCAAAGACTGCTCATAAGGTTACCGCTGAAGAGTTTCCAGCTACTTCCAATAAAACATGAGCTTTGTTGAGGAGAGGCACGCCCATTCTAAACCACCCAGCACTGTGCGTCTTTTTAAGAGGCACGTTCGCTGTTTCAGTATGATGTTTATTTCATTCTTGTAAGTTCTGTTTGGGGTCTTTACCACTGTAGGGGAGAATCCATGAAGGTGTCAGGATAACACAGCGTAATCCGCTCAAAAATGGTCCCAGTAGGGCTCGTGTTTTAGTCACGTGTTTACAGAGCATGCTCAGTATTAGTGCTGATATGTGTCAGATCGCGCTTGTTCGGCTGGTAGCAAATGTCGTCTAATACGTTTGGCTTTGGAAACAAAAGGAGATTAAAATAAATTTGCTGAAACTTCGAAAGTGAACAAAGAACTGGATAAAAGCAAGGGTGAATGTAAGGTAAATTGGGTGAAAAAAGAACATATAGTCAGAGGCAGACTAAAGATAGGTCAGAGCAACTCATTTATTGGACTGCAAAGCATTTTACATCCTATCCGATGTTGTCATACGTGTTACACTGAAATGCTCAGGTTTGAAGCCAAATACTGAGACACAGAATTCACATGAGAATCGTTTAGCTTACCAGGTTCAACCGCTATGAATATATGGACAGTATTTTGACGAATTAAATAACGCCGGTAGGGGAAATACTGTCGAGCTTATACCACACCAAAATATGCCATCAAGGTAAACTCCTCGTAAGCCATCGATGCTGAATATCTCGTTCATACTGTTCTGAGCTGTGTTCGGCAACCTTACGAATGATGTACTTTATCTATAAAACGCATCGCGACATCTTGATTATCGTACCAACTGAAACATCAGGCGGCCAGGATAAGCACATTCAGTTGCTTACAAATACCATAAACGAGAGATTCGGCTGGGATCCAGGAGAGTCTCTCGCAAAACCAAATTTGTTTGCAAATGAGTGCATTTCGCTAATTTCGCGCAACTCGGGTTCAATTAGAACGTAAGGTTGACGGAAACTCCGGGACTGTGCCTACCTGATGAGCCACAAGAAGGGCGAAACCTGTCGTATGCTGGCGAAGTATTTTCAGTAACCTTATGAGTAGCATATTAGTCGGGGATTGTTTTGAGACACGGTTTAACAGGCTTCCAAACACTGAAAACAAAGCTGCCTGTTAAATTCGATAATATATTCAAACAGCAGGCTGCAAACACCTCAGATCCAAAAACAAAACTGTAGAAATTCATTGCTTTGAATATTGGTATATCTAAGTGATTCAAATGGACGATGGATTTGATGTAATCAACAGGTGAAATGCACCCGGAAACTAAAGCACCGGCGTGTACTTCAGATCACATTCGATTCAGTGACTGAAGAAATTATGAACGTTGACGTCATGTGTAAGCAAATGAGATTATTTGCACTCTGTGATTTTGTTTCTCTTCTAGACGCGTTACTTTTATCCAGAGTTTTTTGGGATCATCAAGTACAATCGAGGGGGTGACCTGGAGACAACTGTTAAAATGCCGAGTTCCTGTTTCTCCGAGGATGCCCAGTATGATCTCGGGAATAGGTACCACGCAGGCGTATTGTCTGTTGCGGCTACTGTAGACTTTGTTGAGTGGGATAGCTGCCTTTCTGAATAGCACAGTTGTCGCGCGAGGTTCCGTGATATTACACACAAATTGCTAATCAAGTGTTTCAGTGGGAGAATGACAACTGCCATTGAAATTAAACAAAGATATCTGAGCTGCAAGCGGGATAACAATCCCTTGTCCAGGCACGCTGTTACCATCGATTTAATTGGCTCAAAAATGTCATCGCATTTCAATCAATTGGAAAATGTGTTGTGTAGGAAACTGTGATCTATTGGGTAATCATCTTTTCAGAGAGGTTTTGTAAATTCACCTCCCTGAATCGTCGCATTTCCTTTGTAAGTGATGCAGGCTGCCACGTTAGGGATGCAAAGTTGTCATGCTGTCCGTCCCTAGAATTATGGGGGATTTTCGTCCCATTTCCGTGGTATTTTCGTCCTCGTGCTATCAAGGCAGGCATACACAGAATGGGTCTGAGATAAAGAGGCTTGAGAGACTGATTTAGGTGGAGTCGCCAAGTCAACTCTCGGTTCTTTCCATTTCAGCTCACGTCAAGTTACCCGGGACAAGCCCTGTCCAAGTGTGTAAGCTAACGGGTGCTAGCATCGCAAGCACGGTTTCTAAGTCGACGCGACCGCGCCGACAAGGCAGCAACAGTGTCAGACGCGGTTGTCACTGTCATAAGGCTGGATACTCCCGATTGAAGTGTGGTCGGATCGCCTTGGTGCCAAGGCGACACAAGGCCGTCGTCAAAGCTATATGAAGGGGCCTATAAAACAAAACCGACATTTTACTGTAAAAAAAACTCACGTGCCATAGTGTACAGGTCTGAATGGGGCTGGCTGGCTGTGGAGGCAATGATCAAGGTCAGAACATTTGCCCGATTTGCTTATGTGTCGACCAATACACGTGTATGACTTTCTGTCCAAGATCTCAATCACTTTGATACCGTAAGATTCATCATCTGTGTGCTTCAGCTTCATCTGTCAGCCGACCAATGAAGAAGTTATCAACTGATAGTGTTGAGACCAAAAGACAGTTGAAGAACGGGATTCTTTACGAGTTTGCACTACCAAACAAAGCTGTGTACTGCGAAAGCTCCTCTCATCACAATCGTTAATGTGATGGGACGTGTACGTCTCTCTTTTGCTCTATTATGTCTTGAGTCTTACAGATGAGGCATGGTCTAAGTAAGAAAATTTTGTTGAGCAAGTGACAATCTAGAATCGTAATGTTGCAGGTCCGAATCCTCCACCCCACCTTACCCCGCAGGGATAATGAGTTACTCACTAAAGCTCAGGAGCTCATCAGCTAGGCTATTAACTACATCTGGCAAGTAGAAATTAAAAACCGAGTCTCAGTTAGTGAACTGAGATGGTGATTAAAACAGTAAATATATACCAAGACATTTGAGTCGTGCACAGTCACTTCATTTATGAAACAGCAGACGCAACGAGTGAAGTGCCAGCGGAAAAGTAGCTGAATTACTAATGTGACTGATTTGAGGTTCTGTCTGTTTGACTCAATTAGACAGTTATGCCATAATAGTTGAAGTTTAGTCACCTTATCTGTCCAATCACTCGTCCGGGCTAACTGAAGAGCAATACAAATAAGTCAGTGAACCCGTAACTACAAAGTGATCGAACATGGGCTGGACGCACATTGCGTTGATCGCGGTCTCACAGTCCAGGTAGTTAGGGTTTACTAAACATGGCCTTACTCAAATTTCGTCGGGGTAGCAATGAGCATCCACTCACCTTCATGTTCTCAGCAGTAATCCCTTGATGATGAAGCACGCGGTTCTTTCTGATCTTCTCTGTTTATGTGGTCTGTTATCGATCAAATAAAATTTGAACTACCGGCAGTGTCCAAGTGATTGGCCAGTTATGCAGGGGTGTGAACAGAATATCAAACTGATTTGAGTGAAATCCTCCATCTTTTCGATATGTGTAAACAACGGAATGTGGGTCTGTGCGAGAAATAAATTTCCACGGGTTTAAATAGTAGACTACTTCAATCGAGGCATCCGTTGGGATGAAGACATACGCAATCGTTTGCCACTTCGATCTTAACATGGAATAAGTATGAACGGCAGAAATTGCGAATTTCATTTCCCTTTGTCCCGTGGTGCATTCGGCGTGACAAGTAGAGCAGCCATTTAATCAACTTTGGCAAAACATCATGCGTGTTGCACCACTGCGCAGGAGAATTTATAGGAAATCATTGAAGTTACCAAATCTAACCACGTAGTAGCAGTATCGGGATTAAGTGAGTTTGATTCGAACTTGATTGCTCTGCCACATCCAAGTGCACATCATGATATAGTGATTGCCCGTTCACTCACCGTTCCGTGATTCAATGAACGTCCCCTAATGCTGTGCGGCATACCGACACTCGTTTGATATTTTGGGTGCAAGACATTATTAAAATGTTCTCCGGAATTTTTCCACATTCATAGGGTTACAGAAAATATCCCGATTTCGGCCACTGTTACCCAGTACACATGCACATGTTGCACATATATGCACACTAATGCAACTTTGTAATCAAACTTCCTCTAGGTTTGTACATCAGGGCAATTGTGGTCGATAAAACCGGAGTCCCTGTGAAACTCACTGAGCAACATGACAACATGTGGAGCTTTCAGCATTTGCTGATGGAAGCTCGTTTATGCAGATTTGTAAGTACACTATTTTACTTCTGGTTCCCGATAATCACTTCACTGAATGTAAGATGTATTCTACTCCTGCTTCGAGGTTACTCTCATTGTATTTTCGAATAAATTATGTTAACAGAGGGTGTCCAAGAAAGTTGTCTACCTAATTTGAAAAGGATTTTCTTAGAGGAAACAAAAAATTCTACGGAACCAGGTGTTTTACGGAATGCATTTTTAGTAAACAACAACCAAAAAACTTTTTGCCACCCCCCGAATAGCGTTTTTGGCCTGTGAAATGACACAAAGGTTTTCGAGAGGTCGTGGTTAGTGGTGCTACATTCCGAGTCATAAAAAGCCGTGGCATCACACGGATTTATTCAGTCCCCTGCCTGAGGTCTAACCGAAACTACTGAATTATTCACCCGAATATCTCGTTCAATTTTTAATGAGAGATTCGCTTCGGTGAATTCTTGAAGCCTGAATAAATCTTGATTTCCTATCGAAACAATGACCATCTATGAGGTTGTTTGTCCAAGCTGTAGTAATGTGTTAGGACTGATAGTTATTCGTCTGCCGTCTGATTGGCTTAGGAGAACGACAGCCGCCTTATTCGCTTACCTGGACATAATTGCTGCCATGTCGTGTATCCTCGTGCCGTGAATGGCCACATACCAAGGACTTACGACTTTAGTAACCTTATAACAGACATCTTCCCTCTCCCTTTGTTGACCTACCCTCTGAATATCCAGCGCTCCTCGCAGAAGTGTACCGTCCAGTTTTTCGGTGAATTGATGCTACTGATCCTCTCGTTAGCGAAGGAGCAACCGGATCAAGCTGAGTTACAAAAGCTACTAATTACTTATCAAGCCACTATGACTGTTACATTGCTAGTAAAAAAGCATTATTATGACGTGTGTAGTGGTGTTTCCATCACATAGTGGCGCCAGCTGGCCATTTATTCGCAAGACCAGATGGGATCTGGCCGCACGTTCTGCCGGCTGTCGACCCAAGCTACAATAAATGCAACAAAGCTTTTAGGGCGTTCTTAGCACAACCACCGCAATGATGCAACGCACCACACTCTACTATTCGTGTGATATGATGACTTCAGTTTGAGTGCCGGATAAGGAGGTTCCAGTGTGTGACTCCTCACTATAATGAGGGGTGACAAGACGAAAAAAGCACATTGTGCAAAATCAGTTGTCACATTCACTCCTGCAAGTATATCATTGCATTCCATGGAGATTTAACTCACCAGTGGTCTCGAGCTCCTTGAAGCTTATAAGGTGGTCATCGTCCCCGAGGTTTTGTCAGTATTGTTTCTTAGTTGAACATCAACCTGTGGGATTATAAACTCGTTTGCAAACTGAACTGCGAATAGCACGACTCAACCGAGACTAGCCATCTCATTTATGATAGACTTCACGTGGTGTGCCTATCAAAAAACTGCTTAATGTTTAGTTTGAAGCCTATTCTGGACATCATAGTGATTTCCTCGATAAGACCCTCTCCATAACATTGAAAAACAAACGAAAGAACAAGTTAAACTGCTCATCTCCTGGGTAATGTATTCACTCTGATAATTCTTGTTGCTATTAGAGAATCACTTAAGTTTCCGTCACACATTTGATTTTGTGACTTCTATTCAACGGACTGATCCTTCATCCTTCTTGGGTATCATCAGTTGCGAGTATGCCACTGGCCTGTTGGGCGTGTGAGTAGGTCAGACGCCTTACTCATCCCCCATGTTTCTGAGCTGTGCACCATTGATGAAACTGAGCAAGAAAGAATCAGCTCTGCCTTGTTCTTCGATTGCCATTTATGGGTTTATTTTGCTTTAGAAAATGAAAGTAGAGGAAGAATAGTTCTGTGATTTTTCTTCATTTTTCTCGCAGTTGGATAGTTCTTTCGAACGTGGCAAAGTCCTCTCTTCCTTACATTTCAAATGCAAATTCTTCGGTTCGCTAAGCGAGGAGGCAATTATGGGAGTGTACTTTCGAAAAGATCAGCTTGATCAACTTAGACCGGGTCACACTAACGAAATGCTCTCCCAAGAAATTGCAATCACCACCAGGCCAATATCGCATATGTATGGACTGAAGGAGATTACTGTAAGCAGTGAGTGGAAATTTGATTGTCTAACCAGACATTTAAAATCAGTTACCTCCGTTGCAGCCCTTTGGTTAACAGGCGTTGGTTGATTGATTCAATCTTACTGCAAACCTTTGTACAAAAAGATATTATCTCTTACAAGATTTCCTTGATGTCATGACACCTTTATTTTTAAACTTCCATGAAGTGATGAGGAGGCCTGACAAAAATGGTATCTTTTTTGAAAGTTGGATCCGAATCTACATTTTATTTATTCATGTTGCATCAGCAAAAGTCGATAAAACAACAAAAGTAAAAAAGGAGGGTTGCAAGTACACTTTCCTAAAAGTAACCCAAATCGTACCCATCTTGGAATTTTGAGAAACGTACAGACCCAGAACCATTAATTTAAAGCATTTGCCCGGCAACTTTGATATGCACCCAGTTGCTTAGATGAATGAGCAAATCGAATTGTTCAGCGCACACAGCCCTTACACACAACCAACTTCGTGTTGAGTATCGAGATCTGTTTTTTTTTCAAAGTTCATATTCCCCAGGTGGAATCACTGGTACTATTTCTGCGTCTTGAAATGCGTTTTTTGTTGGCTACTTGGTGGGTTGGTTGACAGCTCTCCAAGTTCAATTTAACACCTTAGGGAACCTACTTTAGGGTGGCTGAACAATGATAATTGACATACTTCTTATTTCCGGCGATCAGGGCCCCACCACCCATTTGCTTTGGCAAGNTTTAGAAAATGAAAGTAGAGGAAGAATAGTTCTGTGATTTTTCTTCATTTTTCTCGCAGTTGGATAGTTCTTTCGAACGTGGCAAAGTCCTCTCTTCCTTACATTTCAAATGCAAATTCTTCGGTTCGCTAAGCGAGGAGGCAATTATGGGAGTGTACTTTCGAAAAGATCAGCTTGATCAACTTAGACCAGGTCACACTAACGAAATGCTCTCCCAAGAAATTGCAATCACCACCAGGCCAATATCGCATATGTATGGACTGAAGGAGATTACTGTAAGCAGTGAGTGGAAATTTGATTGTCTAACCAAACATTTAAAATCAGTTACCTCCGTTGCAGCCCTTTGGTTAACAGGCGTTGGTTGATTGATTCAATCTTACTGCAAACCTTTGTACAAAAAGATATTATCTCTTACAAGATTTCCTTGATGTCATGACACCTTTATTTTTAAACTTCCATGAAGTGATGAGGAGGCCTGACAAAAATGGTATCTTTTTTGAAAGTTGGATCCGAATCTACATTTTATTTATTCATGTTGCATCAGCAAAAGTCGATAAAACAACAAAAGTAAAAAAGGAGGGTTGCAAATACACTTTCCTAAAAGTAACCCAAATCGTACCCATCTTGGAATTTTGAGAAACGTACAGACCCAGAACCATTAATTTAAAGCATTTGCCCGGCAACTTTGATATGCACCCAGTTGCTTAGATGAATGAGCAAATCGAATTGTTCAGCGCACACAGCCCTTACACACAACCAACTTCGTGTTGAGTATCGAGATCTGTTTTTTTTTTCAAAGTTCATATTCCCCAGGCATGGAATCACTGGTACTATTTCTGCGTCTTGAAATGCGTTTTTTGTTGGCTACTTGGTGGGTTGGTTGACAGCTCTCCAAGTTCAATTTAACACCTTAGGGAACCTAATTTAGGGTGGCTGAACAATGATAATTGACATACTTTCTTATTTCCGGTGATCGATCAGGGCCCACCCATTTGCTTTGGCAAGATACGCATTATGACTAGAACGAGATGTAGATTACAATTTGTGAATTTCAACCGGTGTGTATGGGAAACAAGAGTGATTGAAATGTCACGTCCGTTCGATATTGCGTCAAGCGTACATGCCTCTTAAATCGCATTTAGCGACACGGCGATGACATCCGTCTGCCTGCAAGCCTTAGCAGGCATAGGCGCCAGAGGTCAAGCAGGAATCTCAACAATGACGCACCACAGCCAGTACAACAACAAAAGGAGGCCTGTCTCAGTTAAAGTACAAACACAGTCATGTGTCCATTCACACAGCGGACACATTCAAACATGCTGGTCCCATCCGAACGCCTACTGACCTCAGGAACACACCAATCAGATGACACGATAAATAACGGACCCAAATAACGCTGCACCTGATACATAACATGTGGTTGTAGAAATCCTTGAATAAGGTTCCCACGGCACTGTAGACTACACAACCGAAAAGTCGTATAAGAACATCTTACTTCACTACGCTGTTTTGACTTTAAACTTTCCATAAATGTAATTTTACTCATGAGGGTGGAAAGTCGTAATCACCTCGCCCATTCTCCTACAGCACCTTGGCATACCCGTCAGTGTTCCCTTAAAATGTCCCCAGTCTCCCGACGCCCACACGACCCTCTGTCCCACTCTCCAGCAGCATCCATATAGCCGCTGGCATGACACGAGTGAAAGCCAGTCGGCTACCCGTAACCTACCCGCTAATTGATCTGACAAATTAGGTAGACTAAATATCCGTTTTTAGGATGCGCGGAGCACTTTGAGGAACCCTGACTCGCTGGTAGTTTCGTAGTTGGTCGTATTCCAACGGGAGGCTGCAGTTAAGATGGTGGTGTAGTGAGACTACGTTTGCATATACATGTTAAAAGGGACCATGAAACGGATAATACGAAGGCAGGTGAAAGCTGGCTAACGGGTATTCGGAAAATACAGAGCGGACACCTCTGTCTCGGTTGGCATAGCCTTTGCGCCTTCTGTAACCTTCTACGACAAAATTTTGGCTGCCAGTTCGATATGAGTAAATCCCACACCTGCCAAAACATTCGCGCAGCCGGTGCAGTATGGCTGTGCTGACGCCGTGACTTAAGCATATGAATGAGTTTGAAATACCAGGTGTAGGAACACAGTTTACCCTACGATCGGAAAATCTAATGTAGTCCAGGTCCAACGCATTACTGTGTTGACAAGTTCAGAGAATGGTGACTGTAATATTATATCCCCTTCAAATGGTGCTAAACCGATTATGGAGTGGTAAATATTGGACATATAGTTTTTCAACTACAGATTGATGAATCTGAGTCGACACGATACCGTCCGGCGTTTACTGAGACTAATGGAAAACCAAAGATGCCGAACCAGAATTTATTCGAGCAAGCCTGTTTAGCTCTAGATAGTGAAGACCAACAAGAAATGCCTTGAATGCTGTTCTTTGATAAAGCTACTAACTGCCGAGAAAGTGTTACATAATTTCCCGAGGTCCGATAACGATTAGTTATGCAACCAGTGAGTGCATGACACTTCAATGAGCGTTGCTTGTCTTCAACGAAATCATTGCTCCCGCAGTGACTGGAGTTAAGGACAGGCAAATCGAAAAAGCCAGAGAGCGAGGTTGTTGAAGAGCCTGTTTGAGAAGATCCTCCTGCCAGTATATCATTTGGCATACTTCGAGCTGGTGAAATTTGGGGTTGAAACGTGAGGGGACTCTTCAAAACTCCTGCTGCGGTGACTGTATTGAGCAGACTAGTCAGGAATCTGGTGACCGAGTATTGGTGAGTTGTTGGGTGACCATCGTGGAGTTTCAAATGCACAAAGTACGACTAATCACGGAATTCAGTTTGACTGTGTGGAGCCTGAATCAATGTCAGATCCGGATGGTGAAAATTGTCCGATGCGATCGGGGTGCCACCAACCTGCATATCAAATGTTACACGTCCTCGACACATTAGACCGTGAGCTTCGAACCATATAGCGAGATGTTACGAGGTATGATTACGTTACCGTCAATGGGGTGCTCGATATGGGAAACTTCGGGCTACCTTGAGTACCTGCCAACGATCAAATGTCAACCGATGTCGTTGATAGACCGAAATGCGCACTTTGCCACGTGTTTTCTGGTCATGGCCTTGTTGCTGCTCTCTTGCACAGCGTTGGACCATACTGTTCACTTGAACGTCACTACACAAACCTGTGCACCAGTATTTCCACAAAATGACCGGAATGAGACTGCATAGAAAATACTGTTCTTAGTATTGAAGGGCTGACAGCTGATTACAGAAAATGCGGCCATGATTGGAAGAATACCAACCAGTTCCCTCCGTTATGAAACTTTTATAACTCGGTCGAAGGGGCTGTTTGGGGCTACATTCCACATGCATAAGATTAACCGGTTGAAAATTCTGACAGTTGATTGTGGCAGTGGAGGGCATAGTTCGAACTGCAGCTGTGAACGTACTGTTCAATTCACACTCAATCATCCGGAATTCGGAATGAGAGGTAGGAGTTGCTCTTGTATTCTCACTTGGAGTGTCACTGTGTACGTCTTCTGACAGGTGCTGTTTGGGCAGACACTGAAGACGCCAAATTTCTCATGCGACCCGAAGACTTCCAGGTTGACGTTGTGATCCGGTACATGAATGACATGAATGCCTGTTACTGCATTAATCATACATTCATCTGTAAAGTGCAGAATATCACTTGATGTGCTGTCAGCTGTCTGAGAGGTCAGTTTAGGAAATTACATACGTACTCCGAGGGGCTATATACACAACTGATGCTGTAGTCGAATAAAAAAAAACCTCGTTACCGTCGTCGTCGTCGTATTTCCTATTTCACTGTGAGTAACACCTTGGCGCAGCAACAACAGAGTTAACATGTCATAATTCCTCATTTTTTTCGACTTATTGTGCTGCTGAGATTGCTACATCTGAGATTTGGTTGCTGGTAGAATCACTGTCCATGAACTTGGTCATAAAAACCTCGCCATCCCTGTTGCTTAAATGGGTAAAACAGGGGATAATGACATTCACCACAATACCATCATGCCACAGATGGTTTTGCTGATCTTGAAAGAAAAGTCAGTTCAGATGTTAATGCCGCTCATGTCGGGTTCTCCTGGACTCGTAACAAAATCACGAGTAGCCAGACAACGAAATCAGCCGTCGCTTGATGTGAGGTCATGTCTCGGTGTGGCAAAGCTTGCCTTAGTAACCATGTGCGAATAGCAATCGCGCTTGTTGACTTGAGACCGCAAACATAAAGTAAGGGTTTGGGTAGGTCTGTGGCAATTGGTCCCAAACAAACTCTTCGAATTCGCGATCCACTTAACCTGCGTATATGAGAAAGTCGTCGGATCAAATTTTCATCAGACTAGACACTGGAACAGTGAAAAGTTTGTGCTGATTGCCTGACTCAGTCTCGTTTAGGTCGGGTAGGGTGTTGCGAAGACTAAAGTTCGCCAATTTACCATGTTCGATGATATCATGTTGACGAAATAGAGGAAAAGTGTTCGGGACGTCTATTCGATTTGCCATTGTGTCCGGTTTTAGGATTCCTAAAGCGTTTCTTATGATTTTTAAGGCTCTGATTGAACTTACACTAATCCGTGTAACAACTTAGACGGAAATCCACATATTTTGAAGTATGTAGTTCTTTCATGTGCGTATTTTCATACAAATAGTGCCCAATTTTATTGATGAATCTCAAGACTTCTCCATTCTTGACCTGTGATTTCGTTCGTCACCGAATTAAGCTTTCTTTGGTGTGCCAAGCATTTCACACCCGGATTCCTGTGAGTAAAAGCAGGTGGTTGCGGTTGGCTGGATTCCGGTTACTGTTCATGCACTAAGTGTATGGGAAACAACATTGATTGAACTGTCACGTCTGTTCAGTAACAAGTCAGGTCATCAATAAAAACAGCGGGTTAGACGGGTTGCACCAAATCGGCAACCACTAGTGTTTTCCAGATCCCCTCGTCAGGTCAGTACACATCTACGGGCTAAAGATAGGGAGCAAATAATGAACTAAGCAGCAGATTGGTTGGTGAGTTAGAAATGTGGGAACAAACGGTTGGTTGTCAGTTCACCGAACGTCGCATACAACAGGACGCCGTGAGACAGACTGGAGGGCATTTAGGCGACTTGGTCGGTCAATACGTGTCACATGACCACAGCAGACCCAACGACCGTACGAGTTGCTTGTGAAATCAGTGCCAGGTTTCGCGAACGCATTGAGACTACCTTGGTTGTAGTCAAG